GTATGTTGACCAATATTCTTCATTTCGCAGTAACCCAAATTGTGCTTTATATACCTTTGAAACTTGTTGTAAGGTATACACTGGATGAATATAGTTGCTGAAGTCATGGTGTGCATGCAGCAAGAACATGCAAATAAGGCATGCAAAATTTCTGGAATTTCCCACAGTCACACCATAACTCATCAAGGCGAACTACAAACTTCCCTGTTGATCGAACTTCACGCGAGTTTTGTGTTTCTTCTACTACAAATTTTGTGGTAGATATGTCAAAAGTTATGACTCTATGCATGTTTACCTGTGTTTGTGCTTCTTCTAAATTTGTAACCAAAATTTCAGAGTATACATGACCAGCATTGATCATGACATATATCTGCCTCCCTCTTTCAGTGAAAAATTTGTTACAGCGGGTGTACGTTGCATTGACCATGGAGTAAATGGGCAGATTTCTTATTTTTTTCAAAATAGAGTTGATAGACGCTGCTATGTTGGTTGTCATGTGGCCCCAACACCGTCCATTGTTCCATGCAAGTGCCTATTTTTCTCTAGGTATCTCATCTAACAAATTAACTGCTTCTATATCACAATTCCTCAAGATGTTATAGTAGTAGAATCATGGTTTAGTCATCCCATATTCTACAACAATATTAAAAAAGCATAGTTAATATAAATATTTATTAGCAATAGTTAAATAATGAATAAATTGTAACAAATTTGAAGTAAAGAAATTATCATATTTACATTTTTCCTTAGTGCGGTGTTTTTGAAACGTTTCATAAAATTGTGTGTAATGTGTCTAATGCAGTAGACATGCACTAAATTATTTTCTCGTCAATCCGCTTCCATTTCTCATATATGCACTTCTAATGGATTTATGTCGGTCTAATATGAGGCATAATCCTTGCTGGGGTGTGACATATCTTTGGAGAATTTTTAAGAAAAAAAAAACTAGGCATCACTTGTTTCACCTTCAACCACTGCAAACACAATGGGGAGGATGTTGTTGCGACCATCTTGTGCTACTGCAACCAACAAGGTACCTCTATACTTTCCGTACATAAAAGTTTTGTCCACTTGAACAATGGGCTTGTAGTGAACAAATCCATCTATGCATGGCCTAAACGTCCAAAACACACGCTTAAAAATATTTGAATTTTGTTGAAGGACCTCACTTTGGTAAGTTGGTTATGACTGCAGTTTGTAGATGAATCCTGGAATTACACCCGTTAATTGTTCCTTTATTAGAACAACTTGGCCTTACTGGAGTGTCTAAGTTAAAACACTTGAAGGTGGATCACGATTTGGTCACAACATTAATAGAACGGTGGAGACCTAATACTCACACATATCACTTTCCAACAGGAGAATGCACCATCACCTTGGAAGATGTTGCGTATCAGCTAGGCCTAAGAGTGGATGGATTACCACTTATTGACCCAACAATGTTTGATTGGGAGGAGATGTGCGAAACGTATCTTGGCATCACCCAATAAAAGATGAGTCACTCATTGGCTTAATGATCAAATTGAAGTGGTTGAGGGAGAACATCCTACTGCTAGTTGACCAACCATCGGAAGAAGAAATTCACGCCCATTGTAGGACATATATATTAGGATTAATTGGCGGTGTAATAATGCCTGATAAAACAGGCAACAAAATACATTTAATGTATTGTTTTACTAACCTTAGATGAATCAGGAGATATAGTTGGGGATTTGCTTGCTTGACAATGTTGTACAGGGAAATGTGCAGAGCAACGAATCCAAGGGCGAAAATAATGGATGACTATGCATCGCTCTTACAATCATGGGCTTGGCATTGAATGTCATTCATTGCACCCATTTCAAGTGTCACACCAACATACCCATTGGTATGCAATTGGAGCAGAGGACGAGTTTTGAACTTTCGCAATGTACCTCACAATGATGTTGTGGGGTACAAATCAATGCTTGATCATATGCAAACACATAAGGTATATGTTACTTCCTTAGTTGATTATTTAATTTCACAATTATGTTCATAATATGTAGTATTAAACCATTTTTTTTGTAGTTCATATGGGTTCCCTGTAGACAGGTTCAACAAGAAATTCCTAATGAAGCATTTCGGGATTCAACCATCAGGACGTCATGCACTGCTATCATCTGCTTTGCAATGGTTGAATGACATCAAGCAGACAGAGTCAAACTCCAGTTTAGCTTGTTTCAAAAGGTCCCATCTAAACCCAACAACTTGTCTGAATTGCACCGAATTGATATGAGGGGTCGGCAAGACGAAAACTAGGTTACAAGACATGCCTAGTGGATTGATTATTGGAATAACAGACGTGAACACACAATTATGGACCATCCAATTCCAGATCCATTTTTCCACAGTGCAGAATATATGGAATGATATAGTGCCAATTCCATTCTTTTTCTATCTGTCCCACATCTATTACAAGACCCAAGAGGCAGACAACAAACTCGTTCCACTTATGAAACGGGTACAAGTTCTACACCTTCCTACCAGCAGCCTTAACTTCATCAGCATGCACCTCCCCAATATCACACATCAACTACAGAAATACAAGAAAGACATTTTTTTGCTGCAAGTTCAGATGAAATGATGACTAACCTATTTGGAGTTGATTTTTCAACTCCAGCTTCAGCCGTTGCTTATATGAGGTCTTTGTACCAACCACAAGATCCCAATCAACCAGGGGACTTCATCAACTCAGTTGAAAAATCTCCAACTCCTTGCAAAAGAAGATCCTCCTCAACAGGAACAACCACAACAAAAAAATCCAGGACATAATAGATGTCGCCTTCGTTGTGGAACTGAACACCACTATGGAGATTGAATGCTTTAACTTTGTATTATTTCATTTCAAATTTTTCCTTATGTATTAATCTTAAAAGTTAATGAAAAATATCTTCTTGGTCTCACTTAAATTTTGTTTAGATTTTATTATTTATTTTTGTACCAAATAATTTCTAAATAATTAATTATAATTAAAAATATAAATATATAATTATGTTTTTATAATAAATTATATCTAATATATATACATATATATATATATATATATATATATATATATATATACACACACACACACACACAATATTAAATAAAAAATAAAAATTTCATAATGTTAAAGATATAATATATTCAAAATATTATATATATATATATAACATAAATTAAAATTATATATATTATATAAATTAAAATTATAAACTTATAAATAATTATAATTAATATTCTAAACTTAAAAAAAATTATAATTATAAAAATAATAAAAAATAACAATTTCTATACCTATAAAAAAGAATTGAAAAACCCGTTATAAATTCGGTTTCTTCCAATAATCGAATTCTAAACTAGCATAGTAAAGAGTGCTAATTGAATAAATAATGTTGGAAATGTGTTATTTTGAGATTTAAAAAAATATTATTATGTAAAAAAGACACATATAAATAAATTACTTTAAATATACATTAAATAATTACAAATAAAAAATATAAATTAAAATTAAAAAAATAACTATTTATAAATTATATATATATATATATATATATATATATATTATATAAATTATAATTATAAAGTTAAAAAAAATTATATTTAGAATTATAACCTTAAAAAAATTATAATTATAAAATTAATAAAAATATATCTATTTTTAATGTTAAATAAATTATATATATTATATAAATTATATATATATATTGCATAAATTAAAATTATATATATGAATTTCAAATTATATATATATATATATATATTTTGTATAAATTAAAGTAATAATTATAAACATAAAAATAAATTATATTTATAATTATAAAAAGATCTATTTATAAAATTATTAAAACGAAAACAAAAATTGAAAAAAGAAAAAATCAGTTTAAAAAAGAAAAAATCAATTCAAAATTCAGTTTTTCGAGATCAAATTTTGACTTAAAAAAATAAAAAAATTAAAAATGATAATTTAAAATTCAATTATTTAGAAACTGAATTCTAAATATAAACAATAAATAATGCTAGATGGGTAGAGAAGGGTGAAGAGGTGTTGTCGTGGGAAATATAGTTTAGAATAATATTATTTATAAAAAAAAATCAAGAATAAGGTCCAAGGGTTTAAAAATTAAAGAAAGAAAAAAATCTTCGATTTTCAAGACCAACAGAGTTTACATGGTCCCAACAATTGCGGCATCTAAATCTTCACGTGGCTAACATATGGTTCTCAGTTTTCGACCACACACAAATATCAATCTTGTTCCTCTTCTTTTCCACCGAATAAATCAAGGGTTATCAAATCCAAGCATCATCCCATCATTTTTGTTTACTTGTTAATGTTGAGTGTTAACCGATGTTATGAATTGCTGAAGAATGGCTTCTCAAAGTTTGAATTTTCCAACAGCGCATATTACTAGCAATAGGATAATTCAGAAGCTTCATTCCAAGGTTTTGTTGTGGCCTTTACTTGCTCATACCAAACCCAGAAGAATTTCTTCCTCAATTCGGGCAATGGTTCATCTGCTTCTTCCCAGTCACAACAATCGGACAGCAAGAACCTGAAGCAGGTTTGGATTATATAGTGAAGTGGGTTTTCCTCACCTTTTTTTTATTTTTCAATTTTTTTTTTGTTGATTACATTTGTTTTTTTGTTCTACTGAAGTTACGAAATGAAAACTGTGTTGAACATGTGAATTCAGGGGACTGTGGGACACTGATAAGAGTTCCAGGTTGAGTTCTCTCAACTAATAGATTAATCTTTGGGGTTGACTCTCTTCTTTTGCTTAAGTCTTAATATTTGGTGTTCCCATTTGATGGTTAGGTTACAGAAAGGACTATTTATAGCTAGGTAAAGGGTTGCTTCAGTCCTATCAGACTTAATTTGATGCTGTGTACATGTGTTTTTAAAGAATGATGGTTTTCTTAAGGTTTAATATTTTTATATATCAATCTCTTTCTGACCCTTGCAGGAACTTGTACTATTGACTATAAATCCTTAAGCGATGAAGACCTTTGCCGGAACTGGTACTATTGACTCTAAGCGGCTCCCGAATGAGCAATTCTGTATTACTCGTCAGAAGGGAACTGAAAGAGCTTTCACTGGGTATGTTATTAAAATACTATTAGGAATTAAGGACACTATGCTCCCAAGTCATGCTTAGTTGTTCAGAGGCATTTAGAAAATTGTTTTGCAGTACTGTACCTATGGCTTTAATATTTTCTGTCTCTTGGCAAGAAAGATTGTACTCCAATGTATAGCTAGAATTTTGTTATTCTGTCATTATTATATTTATCAACTTTTTCATTTTAGGAAGTACTGGAATAATTAAACCCCTGGTATATGTTGTGACACACCTTTATTTGGGTAAGTGCTTTTATATCCATACAGACATCCTTATGCCTTTTTCTTAAATTGACCTTAATCATATTGATTTAATTCACTTTGTCGTGTATAGATCATCTACTAAGTTCAATAGTGGAACTGGGTGGCCATCCTGTTACCAACCTATAGGGAACAATGTGAAATCAAAGTTGGATTTGTCAATTATTTTCATGCCTCGCCAGGAGGTTCTTTGTGTTGTTTATGATGCGCACCTTGGACATGTGTTTGACGATGGTCCTCCCCACAGGAAAACGTTACTGTATCAACTGGTAAACAAATAGTCACTTGAACAGTTTCTCCTTTTCAATCTTACATATTTCACCTTTGTCAAAGAATTTATATTTTTGTTCTTGAATTCCTGCAGTGCTGCTCTTAAGCTAAAACCAAGGCAGTAGATAGTTAAGTAACTGTTACTTAAATAAAGTAAGAGATTGTGACTGTTGAGAACTTGTAAATGAGCTACATCTCATGTACTTTGTACGTTTTTTCTTACCCAGTGAGGGAAATGAAAATTGCCCTGAACTGGTGTTATTAAAACACAAAATAGATGGAATGTAGAAGCACAGTTAATAAGTTTCAGCATGAACTTACCGTTGTTTCTTTACTATGTGAAAGTTTTTACTTCAAAGGATACAATCTGTTTGAGAATTTGCAATTTGATTCTTTATTTTACTCATTTTGGATTTTAATTGTTTTCCAGTACTTTTTTTTTTTCCTCAGAAGGATGAAATGAAAGTATGGTGCTCTCTTAAATGAAAAGGAAGTCAAGATTATTATTCTTGATATGATAAAAGTATAATTTAGCGGCATAGGAGATCGATACCAATACCATACAAAATAGATATTACTTTGTGTTACCTGATACTCTGTTAAGGATTGTTGAGTTAGTTAGCTTACTAAGCTGGACTATGAAATTACTTTAAGCCTCAAATAATCGGGTTACTCTTGTTAGTAGTGTAGCTTGTTTTATTTTCTTACTTTCCAATCACATGAATCATAAAATGGTATTAATGTTTTTTTAAATTTGGATCCAAATTTGTTGAACTCAACTCCTTTACTGAATGAATTTCGTTGTCTGCCTTGATTCCTATTAAACTGGACAACCATAATTTTCTTCAGTGCCAACTAGGAACCACTAGTTACTAAGGCACTGAATTTGTCTCTATTGCACTGTATCAATGTTTGGGAGCATTGTTTACTTCTTACAGTACAAGAAAGTTCAAGAATGAGAAAACCTAAATAAGATGGCCTTACATTTTCTGTGTTTTTTATGGGTACATACTAACCCCTGAAATTGAGTTGAGTTAGGTGAATTTGCGCCCAGTAGTCTTATTGAAGGTGTTTAGTTACTGTCTATGATGATTTTGTTTGCTTGTTGGACTCTGGATATCAGATTGGTGATCTTCTACTATAGACACCATGTTTAGGTATTTGATATATATGACTCATGATAGAAATTAAGTCACTGCATGGCTTAATGAAATGTGTTGTAGACTGAGCTTTTATAAACTGTGATTAATTTGTTGCACAGATAATTGAAAAGTTTGCATTTGTAATTGAGAAAAATATTAAATAAAGAGACTTTCTAATTTGGCTAAGGGATAGATATGGACTGAAGATTTAGTAGTGAAAGCTTGCTAATTGATTTATGGTATGAGATTTAGACAACGAAATGAGATGAGAGTTACTTATATAGCAATAAGATCCCATTTATTTTAGAATATTGAAGGAGCTTGTGATATTGAGGTTTTGGCCATTGATAGCTAAAAATGATGATAGTGAATTGCTTGATATTTATTATTAATGGGTTGAACTGTTCATTAACTATTTTTTATGGATTAGGAGGTAGACAGGAAACTGCATACTCTTTTAGTTTTGACAAAATAATTCTGACTCCTTGAAATTCAACTTTCAAACGCTTAAAAATGATAGTGAAGTGCTACTATCTTTGAGGACAAGTTGGTAATTTCCTTATGCACCATAATGTCCGATTAATAGGACGTAACGATTGGAAACTCTCTCCAAATAATACGTCTACCATTTCAATGCCCAAACTCGGATTACAAAGCTAACGCTACCTAGATCGGTAAATGCTCCTGTTAGTCACGGCATTATAAACCTCTCTTTAGTCTATTATGTGTCCGATGTGGGCCCTGAAAGAATCCAAATTTGTTGTTGGTAATATTTCGTCTCAGAGAATATTGAGACTCGATATTTCTTCTCATCTCATTTTGCACAGATAATTTAAAAGTTTGAATTTGTAACTGAGAAAAATGTTAAATTAAATAGACTCTTTTATTTGGCTAAGGGAATGATAAGGACTTAAGATTTAGTTGTTAAAGCCTGTTAATTGATTTATAGTATGAGATGCACAAGGCGAGTTGAGACAGCGAAATGAGATGAGAGTTACTTATATAGCAGTAAGATCCCATTTATTTAAAAATATGTAACAAGGAACTTGTGATATTGTGGTTTTGGCCATTGATAGGTAGGAATGATGATAGTGAATTGCTTGATTATTTATTATTAATGAATTGAACTGTTCATTAACTTTTTTTTGATGAATTACAACGTAGACAGGAAACTCCACCGTGATTTAGTTTTTGAAAATGGAGGTGTTTGACCAATGCTTAGTAATTTGTTTTGTTTAGTTGTTTGTTATTAGTGAACCAACAGATGTCTATGTCCAGAACGTTGGACTACAGATTGACAATTGGATATTTTATGAATGCATTGACTTTAGTTTAATGTTGTATTCTTAAAATTTAGGACTCTAATAATACGAAGGTATGTTAATGTGAAGGAAGACATTAACATAATGCAACTGCATTTAATGCAATTCTCATTTTAAGAACTGCTTTTACGCCCTGAATGATTGAGACGAAAGACTGTTTACACGGACAGAAAAGAAGGAGAAGTTGTGTTTGAATAAATAGATTTGTGCAGAATCAAAAGAAGAGAAAGGCGGGATTCCTTTCAAGCTCCTCCCTCTCTCATATGAGAAGAAAGAAGAGGAAAGTCACGTCGAAAAAGGGAAAAGACGAAGCTGCTCCTCCCTCATTCCGTCATAATTATTAAATATTATATTTAAATTTATTTGTATGATTAAATTTTTTTAATTTTTTGATTTATTTGATATTATAATTTTTTTAGAAATTAATAATAAATTAGGAGGATAATAAAAATCTTAAAAATTATATGTATATAAGAAGAAATAATATTTTGATGTAAAATTATATATATATATATATATATATATATATTCTAAAATATAATTTATATTAATTACTATAATATAAAATATATATTCCAAAATATAACTTATTTTCATATATATATATATATATATATATATATATATTATAGAAATTAAAATAAATTATATTTTAGAATATATTAATTTTCAAATAATTGATTACTTTTTCAAATAATCGATGACTTTTTCAAATAATCGAGATTTTGGATAGCGGTTTAGAACTAACCGCTATTAAAAATATGTTTTAGATAACGGTTAATGTGGAACCGCTATTATATGTTCACTTTTAAGAGCGTTAAAATATTAATCGTTCTTAAAATATTAACCGTTCTTAAAAGTGACACATATATAATAGCGGTTCACTTTGACCAGCTCTTAAAAGTAACATATGATAGCGAGTTACACGTTAACCGCTATCTTAAAATCTATTTTTAATCGATTATGTTTTCAAATAATTGATTATAATCGATTATTTTTAAATAATCGATTATATTCGATAATTTTTTCAAATAATTAATTATAATCGATTAGTTTTTTAAATAATTGATTAGTTTTTCAAATAATAGATTATAATTGATTAATTTCTCAAATATATATTAAAAAATTATAAATAAGCATTTATAATAAATTAAAATTAAAAAAAATTATTTATCAATTATATATTATAAAAATTATAATTATAAAATTTTTGTTAAATAAATTATATATATTATATAAATTATAATTATATATAGATATATTACTTAAATTAAAAACTTTAAATTAATTATATATATATATATATATATATATATATTTTTTGCATAAATTAGAATAATAATTATCAACTTGAAAATAATTTATATTTTATATTATAGTAATTAATATAAATTATATTTTAGAATATATATATATATATATATATATATTTTACATCAAAATATTTTCAAATAATCGAGATTTTAGATAGCGGTTCTAGAATTAACCGTTATTAAAAATATGTTTTAGATAGCGGTTAACGTGAAACCACTATTATATGTTACTTTTAAGAGCGGTTAACATTTTAACCGCTCTTAAAAGTGAACATATAATAGCGGTTCACGTTAACCGCTATCTAAAACATATTTTTAATAGCGGTTAGTTCTAGAACCGCTATCTAAAATCTCGATTATTTGAAAAAGTAATCGATTATTTGAAAAAGTAATCGATTATTTGAAAAAGTATATATTCTAAAATATAATTTATTTTAATTTCTATAATATATATATATATATATATATATATATATATATATATAAATGAAAATAAGTTATATTTTGGAATATATATTTTATATTATAGTAATTAATATAAATTATATTTTAGAATATATATATATATATATATATATATAATTTTACATCAAAATATTATTTCTTCTTATATACATATAATTTTTAAGATTTTTATTATCCTCCTAATTTTTTATTAATTTCTAAAAAAATTATAATATCAAATAAATCAAAAAATTCAAAAAACAACTTAACAAAAAACTGTGCTATCTAGATAAATAAAACCTACAAGTATGCTATTTGAGTAATTAAAAAACGAATACGTGCTATTGTAGAAAAAATTTCTGCACCTAACCTTGGAGTAGAAGAACATGCATGAATAACACGAGAGAAGGAGGTAAGTCATGAACAGAAGTCACGGGCTGTACATGCAGAGGTCACGGGCTGTATAGCCAACTTCACGTGTTCACAACTTCACGTGTTCACAACTGATAGAACTTGAACCAAAGCCCGTAATTATAGGACTTATTCTTTCTTCTCTAGTTACAGCTGATAGGGAAAGTTATTGTATTATATAAAGCAAAGCTAGTCTCATAAGACTAGCTAAAAGACTCTATTCCATATGCCAAAGCTTGGAGTGAGACTTCGGTTCGGAAACATTCTTTACTTCACAAGAGTCTCCCACCAATCAGAGAAGTGGCTTGACACAGTCAAAGAAAAGAGGATAGTTTGATCCCAGATTGAACCGAAGCCTACTCCCAGATTGAACACCCTACTATGTTCTCAATTAACTCTTGTGAGTCGTGTTCTCAGTTAGCTCCTGTCAGTTGCACTGAGTTTTGAGTTGCCTTCGTGAGCGTGTTTAAGATCCTCGTCTTCTCCAACTTCTGTCTTTCTTAGAGCTCCTTGGAACCATAGGTAAACGTCTCCTTTCCTTTCAACCATGACTGCCTCGTCGTTATGGTGCCAAACTCTCCTCCGGTGGGCACCTCTCCGGCCGCCATGGTGGGCCTCGTGGGTGCAGCTGCAGTCGTGTGCATGCATGAGAAGAGGTCCATAATCCCCCTCCACAATCAGCTATGCATGACGACAATAATCTCTACGTGGCGCATGGTAGGAGCCAAAAAATAGCTCCACGACAACCTCTGCATGGCCATCTCAGGCGGCAATGTGGTTGCGCCCCTGTTTGGAGCCCCATAAACGTAGAACCATGGTTTGTCATACGTGAGATTCATTTGTTTGTATTTGTGTTGTAAGTTGGATCTTCGCCGGCAGCCATCAACTTCGGTGTGACCTTGTCCCACCAACAGCTTGCATGGTATCTTGTCGGAGGAACACCCCAGGTATGGTTCTGTGTCTTCTCTGTCATGGTTGGAACCTCAAACATGGTTGGTACGTTTGTTTTTGGAGTCTGTGTGCATGCATAAGAGTGTGTGTGACCATTCAAATTTGAGGTATAAAACATGGCCAAACCTCCTCCACTCCAACAAAAAATGGGCACCATACAACCATGGTTTCTGACTTGTGCATTGGTTATGTTGTTGTTGCAGGCTGTATCTTAGGGGCACCGTCAAGTTCGCCGTCAGCTTCTCCTACAAAGAGCTTCGTTCATATCTTCTCCCACGGTATGGTTCATATGTTGTTTTCCATGGTTGCAACCTGAAGCTGGTTCTACTTGGTGTTGTACTCCATGCATGGTTGAGGTAAAAATTGGTAGCTACTGCATATGCATCTTGGAAGCAAAAGCTGGGAATGATGGAAGCAAAAATTGGAACGAAAAACTGGAACCAAAATCCCTATTTTTGCAATTATAATTATTATATGGAATTTTTGAATTTTTTTATATATACTGAAAAGAAAAAAATAATTGAGAGATACATGAAAAAAATTTAGTAAAAATTAGGACATACAATATTAATGCATAATTAAATAAGGAAAAAAAAGTTAAATATAGTTATATTTAAAAAATAAATTTATTATTTTTATAATAAATGGAGTATGTAAAATTGAGAAAAGAAAAAAATTTATAAAAATGAGAATTTGTTAAAAAAGAAGTAAAAATATTAGAGGAAAATAATTATTAGTAGTTTTGTAAATAATTTTTGGTTTTGTGATACTTGGTTTGCGAGATGACAATTTTGAATTACTTGCATTAAACATTAATTATATATATATATATATATATATATATATATATATATATATATATATTGCAGATGGTAGACAAAAACATCGAGGTCATTGGTTTAGACAATGACGATATAGATACTGGTCTGGATATAAACATAATTTCACATATACAAAGTGAGATAAAAAAGCGAAGCGAAGTAGGAACGATGACAATTCTTAGTTTGATAGCTTATGGATTAAATATGTTGTCTATGGTAACTTGTAGTAGCGGTAACATTAGGGACTTTATTTCTGAAAAAGAACGTCGTCGGCACGAGTTGATGTCATACTTTATTCATACTGAACAATCTCGTGACATTATTCGCATGGGACCAGAGGCGTTTATTAACTTGTGTCAACGAGTAAGGACAAATGGATTAGTAAACGATGGGTTACAATCAACAGTGGAAGAACAAGTGGTTAAATTTCTCCATATTATCGGACATAACGTTAAAAATCGAACTGTTTCATTTTTTTTCCATCGATCAGGTGAAACCGTTAGTCGACACTTTCATAACGTGTTGAATGCGATAATAATGTTGTACGAACAATTAATTGTTCAACCATCAGGAAGGAATGTGTGTCCGTATATATTAAACAACAACCGATTTTACCCATACTTTAAGGTAATCTACTTAGTAACTTTGTGTCTATATAACATACACATAGATTGTCTAAACTTTAATGACAATAAATTTTTTATCAATTAGGATTGTTTAGGGGCAATAGATGAAACTCATGTTCGAGTTAAAGTCGCAAGATCCGATGCCCCTCATTTTCGTGGAAGAAAATGAAGCACTTGGTGGATTTGATGAAGACATAGATATAGCTTAGGTTGTGGGTGTGTAGATGATTAGGTTTTTAGTTTAAGCACTTAATCTCTTGATAGTCCATTATATTTTGTGATAAGCGCCTTATAATGTTGCATCCCATTGAAAATCATTTTTCTGCATGAAAAACTAACATCTAAGTATTAAAAGAACAAACTAAGTTTTTCAATCTGTTGAAATGATTTTTAATCTGTTGAAACAGAAAGACTATTTTTTCAGTCTAAGAGTTTTTCAGAAAATCAATCTGTTGAAATGAATTTTAATCTGTTGAAACAGAAAGACTATTTTTTCAGTCTAAGAGTTTTTCAGAAAATCAATCTGTTGAAATAATTTTTAATCTGTTAAAACAGAGAGGCTATTTTATTAACTAAGTGTTTGCAGGATTTCAATCTGTTGAAATAATTTTCAATCGATTGAAACAGAGAGCTGTCATTTTTCATAAAGCTGTTTTAATCCATTAAAAACTCGAATCAATCGATTGAATGGAGCTTTAAATGAAATCAATCGATTGAATCGATGTTTTAATCGATTGAAATGTATTCTGATCGATCATAGTTTCATTCTGATCGATCATAACTCGGTCTGATCGATCATACTTCAGTTCTAATCGATCAGAGTCTCTTCTAAACTGTTATACTCTCAAACTAATCGATCTTTTGACTCTCTGAAACAGTTTTTGACAGATGAAACATTCTGATTCTTTGTTTTACTCTATATATACAGAATTGATCTATCTTTTGAAATATATACAACACACTACTTGAGAAAACTTGTGAAATCAATCTGTGAAACTTTCATACGTGACTTTCTCTGCATTCAAGAATCTTTTCATATCATAAGGTGCTGTGATCAGAATTGTGGTCAATCAAAGAGAGAAAGTGCTGTTAGAATTTGTTCTGGACAATTAGAACTTCAAGTCCAGGTTTTTTCTTTCCATACTCTTTTGTAAAAGTGTGATTGTGCAGGTTGGATTGTGATCTGCACTTGGTACGATGACTTGGATTTGGTTCTTGGGTGGTTTTCAAGATTCTATCTTGTGGGTTTGCAAGATAGTTCTTGGGGTAGATTGGTGAGTATCTACTGGTTGTAATTTTCACTTGGTATTAGTGGAACTTGATCGGTTTGTCAAGAACTGGATGTAGCTCTAGATTAGAGTGAACCAGTATAAATTTGTGTGTTAAAATTCTTCTTTCATCTCTTTTATTTTCTGTCTATAAACTTGCTGTGTTTAAACCAAATTACCTTCGCAAAGATTGAATAAAGATAACTCATTCTTCCAAAAGAAAGTAAGTTTTGCGAAAAAGTTTTAAAGTTCAATTCACCCCCCCTCTTGAACTCAACCATTAATTCTTTCAGAAAAGATTGGCCAACACAAAACGTATTTGCAGCTTGTGATTTCGACATGAAATTCACATATGTTCTAGCAGGGTGGGAAGGAATAACATCTGATTCAAGAATATTAAAGGATGTTCTTACGAGAGAGGATCGCCTTATCATACCACAAGGTTTATTATTTATAACGTGGGGATTTTGTGTATAGTCAACTAGTTTAAATATTCTAATTAGTATAACTTCAATAATTTTAAATAGGTAAATACTACTTGGGGGATGCTTGGATTTATGTTAAAAGCAAACATAATGACCCCTTATCGAGGCATTAGATACCACCTTAAAGAGTATTCTCGACGAGCTCCACAAAACCCCCGAGAATTGTTTAACCATCGACATTCGTCTCTTAGAAATGTAATTGAAAGAACATTTGGAGTTTTGAAGAAAATATTTCCTATAATAGCTAGTGGAACAGAGCCTCATTATTCATTTGATACAATGACGAATATAGTCCTAGCATGTTGCATTCTACACAATTTTCTTCGAGGGATAGACAACGATGAATCACTGTTAGCTGAAGTGGATCGAGAGTTGATGGAACAAGATGTGGATAATATGTCAACTCAAGTTCGGGAAGAGGATTTTAGGGAAGTGTCAAACTTAAGAGATACTATAGCAAATCAAATGTGGATAGATTATCAAAGTCATTAGATTTTGTATGTAACAATATATTTAATGAGATGTACTATTGTTATTGTTGAAATATGATTACATTACGATTATCTATTTATAATAATTATATGTTAGTATCGTAATTACATATATTATCTTTCCAATAGGTTTAAAATGAACAGAGGAAAGGATATTGCATCGAATTCGTCAACTGTAGTGCGCGAGTTTACAAAATGGACTGATGACATGGACTTTCGATTGTTGACTGCTATGCTTCATGAGGCAAGGTTGGGTAATCGGGTTGATGGTAGTTGGACAACCCAAGCATATAATAATATAGTTGAATCCCTAAGACAGTCTGAATTAATTGGTATAACTAAAAATAATGTTAAAAATCGACAAAAAAGTCTTAAGGATAGATGGCGGGAGGTCCACGATTTGTTTCATGGACTTAGTGGATTCGCTTGGGATGATATCACAAAACGGTTTATGGCTGAGCAAGAAGTATGGGATGACCTAATCAAAGTACTATTATATGAATTATCATTTGTTGATATAGCAAAACATAACAATTACGAGTGTTAACCATTCTCATTAATTTGTAGGCGAAACCTTCTGCAGCTAAATGAAAACTGTCAACTATAAGGTATTATGATTTGATGGAAGAATTGTGGGGTGCTAATCGAGCCACTGGACATATGGCAAGAACTTCGCGTCAGTCCCGAATGAATATCAGTTCTCAAAGGGCAACAGTCGACTTGAACGTTGATGTGGACCCCACACCAGAGGAGCAGCCATTTCACTTTGGCTTTGATGCAGGATTTGATACAACTTATCGATTATCTCCACGCATGGGTTCCGACAGTCCTGTTGAGGGTGCTCAGTCAATGCCATCTGTTGCGTCTACTGGTTCAGGTGGAACCTCTTTATCTCGGGGCACAAAAAGAAAAACGTCTATGGTTGATGTGATGGAAGATCAATTTGACAAACTAACAATGAGGCTGGACACATTTACAGATTACCTTGGGCAAGGTAATACATTGACCCAACGATTATCTAACATAGCTGAAAGACAGGTGGTCGCCATTGAACACAGAAATGATTTAATTAATGAGCAAGTTAATGTGATGAGACAATCATCAACATTTCAACATTCCAAGTCAGATATATGGGACATGTTAGTCAGCATGAACTTAAATGACGAACAACTTATGCTTTAGTGTTATAATCATTTGTGTACTCACGAATCACATATTAGATGACTTTTTGGCTTGCCCTCACATTTTCGTCTCTTCCAGTTGTTCATGTTTTTAGGTGGAAGTGATTGAATGATCTGCTATAAAGACCTCAAAATACTTTAAGATTCATTCAGGAGCTCTTCGATCACAATGAATTTGGCAGACCTACTCGGCAAACCTTTCGACGAGATACTGCTATTGAAGTACATTCTGACGAGAGAACTTTTGAACTCGAGGACTTGATTGCAAATGATCGATAACATTATAATTATTTGTTTGAAGAGCATTAGTGTGCATAGGTTTATAATTTTAGTAATATTTGTCAAATATCTAATGTCTGGATTAATTAATATTATTTGATAATTAAAATTTATGACATGTAATTCTAATATATATATATAATTTTTTTTCATTTATTTAATTTTATGTTGAAAATATAAAAATATGACAAAAATATATATTAATATAA